TACTCCTAAATCTACATTTGTCTCTAACGAGACTTGAAACGTCAAAAAAACTTTTTAGTTGTAGCGATATTAATTATAAAACTTTTAAGATGTTGTACGGGTTTCAAAAGAATTTGGTGCAAATATTTTTGTCTCTATATATATATATATATATATATATATATATATATATATATATATATATATATATATATATATATATATATATATATATATATATATATTAGGGTTGTTAAAAAATAACCGTATCCGAAAATCCAATACAAAAAAATCTGAAAATTCGATCCGAATATATCTGAAAAAAATCTGGATATCCAAAAATTCGGATATCCGATTATTCGGATTCGGATACGGATAGCGATTTCATTAAAGTTCGGATATCCGGTATCCGAAATCTATATATTAACTATTTATAAATACTTTTCTTGTTTGCAGGGTCCACTTTAAAAAGCCCAAACCCAAAAGGGACGTTGTTGGTACTTGGTAGGATTAGGTTAAAAATCTTGAAATCTCAGTTCTTTCCAAACAAAAGCGATCAATTCTCCTCTCGGTTCTGCTCGACCTCAATACCTTCACTCATCGAATAGACAAATCATCAATTTTTATGAGAGTTATTGATACTAGACACAGAGCTTCCCAATTACTAAGTTCTCTTCCTCAAGAGCTAGGATCGAATAGAAGAATCTTCTCCTTTTCTGAGTTTGACTCATCCCCTTTTTAACTAGAAGAATCTTCTCTTTTTCTGAGTTTGACTCATCCCCTTTTTAACCAGTTGGCTACTAGTATAGGACATTCCATGTTATGTAATGCTTTCTTTTGTTCTGTTACTAGTCTATTACTATACTACTAGTCTACTACTATACTACATCATGTTTTTGTAGTTGTATGTTTTTGTAGCTATATGTACTTGTATGTTTTTGTAGCTGTATGTTTTTGTAGCTATATGTGTAAATACATATGATTCTTTCTTTCTAATGTTTCTGTAGTTGTATGTGTAAATAAATATGACAAACTCTTAAATGATACTTAAATGTGTTATGGATGAAATATTTAAATGATAATGAAAGATTGGTATAACGAATTTGGTAGACTCTCCAAAATGCCAAATGATCACACTAAAAAACCACGACACTTTGGAGTTTGGAGCATTTAAAGAGTTCATTAACTATAAACATAAATAAGATGAACAAAAATCGTGAAGTCCATAACATTTGTTTCAAGATAATTTATTAGAAAGTTAATCTTAAATGTGGCATTTGTGTATGTAGTTTATTGACCTTATTCTCATGACACTAATGTAGTTTTTTTCCCTCATTTATTGGACAAATTAATCTGAAATACACTTATACACCTGATTTTTAGTTTATTCTTTTAGGTAATGTTTTTTTTGCACTAATATTAATGTACAATATCCTTTTTAGATTCTCACAATGGACATAACCAATGATGGTTCAGTTACATCCGAATGGGAGTTTGTGTTTGAAAATGAGGTGCCCACAAACACAAAAAGGAAAAAAAATAAAAAATCAAAAGGGCTCAAACAAAAAAGATGATGCAAAACCACCCCGTCCAGCTCTGCCATGAACAAGTGAAGCTCCTTATCACATGAAGAAAAAAAAGATATATTTGGTGGAAACATTTTGAAAAAACAGAAGTTGTTGATGTTGCTGAATATATACATTGTCATAGAAGGATCGATTGTGCAAGCGTAAATTGGACCACACCTTTGAAAAACCATGTTATTGGTTGCAAACGGAATCCATAAAACATAGATAAAAAACAAAAACTCATTGATAGTGGTTGAAAACCCATCTTATTGGTTACAAACAGAATCCAAATATCCGGTTTTGGACACCCCATATATATATATATATATATATATATATATATATATATATATATATATATATATATATATATATAATAAAAAAGTCACCAAATTCACAACAAAATATCAAAATAATAATATAAGAAAATATCACAAAGAGAATACAAATGATTAGGCAATGGGGTATGGGGATGTTTTCAAGCGTAATGATCTACATGGAGGCAATGTCCACGCATGAACACCGCCCCATAATGTCGTAAATGTGATATGGATTGAATGGCTTCATGGGCGATTACAAAGAAAATGATTGGTGGGACAAAAATGTGACCGTTAGCGGACTCCTTCACAAATTCGACCACCTTTATCCACCGTCGGCCTCCATGAGTCCACCCTCCTGCTTTGCTGGAAACAATAAACAACCACCATTGACCTTAAATTCTTGAAGGGTAAATTACACCAAACCTCCTTCATGCACTTGCCAGAAAACATGTTTAGTCCTTATTTTCAAAAATTAACTTGGATCGTCCCTCGTTTGTTTAACACTTGCAAGCTTCGTCCCAGATATGTAGTTTTATTGCGAATTTAGTCTATGTCAAATCTAAAATGACCATAATACCCTTTTTTTTATTTAATTTCCAATTATTTTTGATTTTTTTATTGATATTAGTTATAGATTAATATTTAGGAAAAAGGTATATCCCCTTATTTATTTCCAAAACCTCACCTCACAAAAAAATAAAAAACACCACCATTTTCTTTCTGGGCAGACCAACATCGCCGAACCACCAACCACCACCATCGCAGAAAAAGCACCCGCCACCATCATCGGAGCACCACTCACCATCATTATTATTGTTTACAGAACCATGACATCTCTCTCCTCCTCGTTTTCCCATCCGATATCCCTTATTCTCCACTCATAATCTTGTAATCTTCTCCACCATTCAACCATCGTCTTCATCATGAGCCACTTTCAACCACCAAGTACAACTCTTGTCCCGTCGATGACCTCCAACAATGAAGAACATAGGTCAGGGCTTTGAATCGTAGCCTAGGGTTTCGAGATCGACGGTCCCTTTCTTCACCCGTACGCCATCACCTATACTGCATCTTTCTCCTCCTCCTTTTCTGATCAACGATCTCATTCTTCAACTTTGCACTTAGGTTTCAGATTTATATACAGGGAAATGTGTGGTTTCAGATTGAGAACTTTAGGCATTTCATGACAGATTTCATTTTGGGGGTTTCAGATCGAGCATTACCGCTACTAATAATCTCTTCTTCTAGATTGTTTTGCAACTAGGGTTAGAGTCTGACCTGTGGATTCAGGAGGTTGTTAGATGGTGGGAAGGAAGTTGTACATGGTGTGTGCGAGACCGGTTTTAAGTCAATTCAAGAGGAGGAGAATAGGTGGTGAGACGACTCTAGAACCAAAATGAAGTAGCGGTGGAAAATCCACCGGTGATTCGCTTGACGATTTTGATCGGATATTGGAAGTTTTCTATTAAGAGGAAAGGACATTGGGAAAGGAAAGGGGGAGGGTCGGTACTTGATACATATTTTTCCTTTTTTTCTTTTTTGTTAATTTAAAAATGATAAAACAATAACAAAAAATTAAAATAGAATTTTTTTTAAGGGTAAAATAGTCTTTTTATGTCCAGAGGGATGAAATGTGCAAGTTTTATACAAAAGAGAGACTACCCGAGTTAATTTTTGAAAATAAAGACTAAACACACTTTCTGGTAAACACACTTTCTGGCATGTGCACGAGAAACAATTGGTGTAATTTACCCAATCTTGAACAAAGAAGAAAGAAGAAGAAAAGAGGCGTGACTACTTTGGCTACAAAGAATATACAACTAGAGCACAAAGATTAAAAAAAAAACATGGGCTGCTAAATCTAAAACTTAGTAACGTTGGGCTGAAAAAAAAATTTAATGGCCAAATTTAGTTAAAGTTGGGCTAAGAGAAAACTTGTTGGGCTAACAATTAGCTAAATCAAATTAATTTGTATAATTAACTAACTAATTTAATTTTAAGTTGTATAAAATTAATTATATATGATGGAGTAAAAAAACAAAAAATAAAATATTCGCGATGTAGAGTGGTGATCATTTCCAAAAGTTTATGGTGTGGTAGTAAGGATAGGGTGAAGATGATTGGCGTTGATTTGACGTTATTTTTCTAGTAAGGATTCAGTAACCACACCCCATGTTTAAAATAAAAAACCATATGGTTAACTAATTTTTCTATACCCAGCCTAGTCATCGCAATATATATATATATATATATATATATATATATATATATATATATATATATATATATATATATATATATATATATATATATATATATATATATTACAAAACGAAAAAAATAATAAACAAAAAAACCAACGAAAAGAAAAAAGAAAAAAAAAATGTAACGTCGTTCAAAAAAAATTAAAAAAACAAAATTTTCATAAAATTTGCAACACGCAATTGAGGCAATTGAAGGTTCCCATTGTATTTTCTTTGGAAGCGATTTCAATGTCTCTGATATTTGTAGTACTTAATTTCCCATATTCTACAAGTCTAACAAAATGGCTTAGTGATACTAACTTAGATTTAAGAATGTGGCCTAGATCTGTTATTGATGTATATTTTTCCATGTAATTTTCCTTAATTGTACTATCATTATTTTTATCCATGCCAGCTCCCTGCTGGTTGCCTGGTTATTCTTTTATATATATATATATATATATATAAGTTGGTAATCCACTAATCCTACATGATTAAACATTTGATCGGGAAATTGTATCACAAGGCTGCATTTATTACTTGGGGTATTAAATTGTCATGACCCATCAACAAATTTTACAGACTTTTTTTATGCGCTTGTGACAGATTAATTGGGTCCCTAAGACTATGCGGTATGGGTCTAACGAGATGCAACGGGGAGTGAGGTGGCACCCCTCAACGGCGTCATGACACGGGGAACACCGCCTGAGAATCGACTAAGAGCCTTGTTTGACCATTTTTTTTAACAATCGCCTGAGAATCGACGTTATGTCCTTTTCGTCTTTGAACTAAAATACAAAAAGTGTGATAACATTCGCGGCAATAAATCAACGATTTCTTATCCAAAAATACAGAAAATCAAAGTCTTGAATGCCAAAAATCACATCATGTTAATGAAAAAATGCAAGCCCCGATATGAACTCCAGGTACTCCTTCTTGGACTGAATCTCATCAACAGCAGCACCTTTGACATTAGAGAGCCATTTCATCGTATCATCAATTGCATACTGGATGTTCTTCAAGACCTTTGGTGTGATATCATTTCTTTTGATCTTATTCTTTAGCGCATATATACAATCCTCCAACGCATTGTATGCTTCAGCTTTTCTCTTGTACTCTTGATCCTCAAGCTTAAACTTCTCAGCATCTTTCACCATTTTCTCAATCTCTTGCTTTGACAATCTTCCACTAAGACTTGTAACAGTAAGGCTTTTGGTTTTACCAGTGGAAACTATCTTAGATGTAACTGTGAGGATACCATTTTCATCTATTTCAAAACAATCCTCAATTTTTGCGACACCCTTAGGAGCAGGTGGTATTCCAGATATTTTAAACGATCCCAACAAATAGTTGTCAGTAGATTTAGTTCGTTCACCTTGGTACACCATCATCTTCATAGCAGATTGGTTGTCAATGGTTGTTACAAAATTTTGGTCTTCTTTGTAGGTATAGGTGTGTGTTCATATCTGCATCTTCTAAACATGTCTCCACTTGCTCAATACACTCTGTAAATAAGTCCATATTAAGCTCCTCAAATTTGGCACGAGTAATATTCATCGAGAAATCAATACCCTCAGACAAATACTCGAGTTCTATCGGTGCTTCTGTAGCATATGAAAGAATTCTCTTTGCTTTCTCACAAGCAACTTTCAACCTTCCTAATGCTCTTTTATTTCCCGCCAAATCCTTTTTCCATTTGCTTTTAAACTCTTCAACGCAATAATTCACCATTCGGTTGTCAAAATCCTCCACCCAAATGAGTGTCACCAGCAACAGCCTTCACCTCAAATTTACTCACTCCATCAATGGTGAGAAGAGAGACATCAAAAGTGCCACCACCGAGATCAAATATAAGAACATTCTTCTTTCCAGTAAAAGACAAATTATTGTCTACTGCATAAGCAATTGCAGCTGCTGTTGGCTCATTGATTATACGCAGCACATTTAGTCCAGCAATAGCAGCAGCATCCTTGGTTGCTTGACGCTGAGAATCATTGAAATAAGCTGGGACTGTTACGACAGCATTTTTAACGGTGTCACCTATATACGCCTCTGCAACTTCTTTCATCTTGCCAAGAACCATTGATGAAATTTCTTCTGTATAAAACTGTTGCTCATGACACTTGTGAGTGACCACGATTTTTGGCATGTCGATATTCCCTTGTATGACCCTAAATGGCCACAACTTAATGTCTTCCTGCACCATGACTTCACTAAACCTCCTTCCGATCAACCTTTTTGCATCTAAATATCCACAACCAATTAGCCAAGTTATAAATTAAAATTTAAGTTAAAAAACATTAAAAGATTAAACATCGGAAAGTGTAAACTAACTGAATACGGTGTTTGCAGGGTTCCTTGCAATTTGATTCTTGGCACCATCACCAACTAGACGTTCGGATTCGTTGAATGCAACACAAGATGGTGTTGCTCGATTGCCTTGATCATTTGTTATGATCTGTATTCGATCGTGCTTCCATACAGCAACACAAGAGTTTGTAACCAAGTCGATGCCAATTGCTGGAGTATGGCCTCCCCCACTCACCATTATTCTCCAACTTCAAACAAAATACAATATTCAACAACAGTATGAGTTTATGAGTGAGCTTTCTGGCTTTACTGATTATATAGCATGCATTGTGATCGTTGGGAATATATAGCATTTTTTGAAATTTGCTATCTAAGAGAAGGTGTCTTTCTGGTTTCCAATGGATACGTTTACAGTAGGAAAGGCTTTTGAAGTCACTTTTGTCATAACATGATGATAAAAACACTTCATTTACCTGTACGTTTGATTCTACACCGTTCATAAAAAAATACTGTACTGCTGTACTTAATTAATTAACACAAAGTGTAACCGAAAAAATAATTGCAAGTAAAAACCAAACAAAGAACTAATAGCATGATGCAAAACATAGAAGATTTGGCTGGAGCTTGGATCAAGAAGTGGAAAAAAAGATAAGGGAAAATGAATTAAAAACCCAACGAAAGTTTTCAAACTGTTCAAAAAACCCTAATCATATTTTGTCTGTCCAAAAAAACCCAACGACCTTAACATTTTGTCTAAAAGGCCCAACTAAGTTACATTTTCGTAAAAGTCAAATAAGATAAATAGATGACGTGGCTTAGTATCGTATCGGAAAATTGACTTGTTAGACCAACAAAGTTTCTTAAACGTTTAAAAAACTCCAATCATGTTTTGATTGTTAAAAAAAACCCAATGAACTCACACAAAACAAAATTGGGATTTTTTGAACGGTTTGGAACTTTGTTGGACTTCTAGACAAAAAGTTAAGTTCGTTGGGTTTTTTTGAACAGACAAAACATGATTGAGATTTTTTGTATGGTTTGGAAACTGGGCTTTTAAGTCATTTTCCCAAAGATAAACAGGCCCAAAAGAGTGACAACTTAAAACAGAAAAAACTTTTGACCGTTAAAAGTTTGGGGGCATGCTATACATTGCTAGAAAGCTATCGTCATGCTCGAGACCAAAGGCGAAATATAAAGAAAATGGATCTGAAGCATGAAGCGAAATTAAAATGGGACATAGATGGAGAGGAAAATAGCAAATTCATTCATGGAATCATCAATGGTCATCGGATGAATAACATAATAAACTGATTAATAATTAATTGATGGTGAATGGTCCTTCAAAGAGGAAGTTTGGAAAAAATTTCAAGAAAGTTTAGTGAAAGTTATTCAAACAGGCCCAAGCCCAAGCGGAGAAGTAATAAATTTAAGAAGCTTGATGTTGGACACAGAGATTTTCTTGACAAACTGTTCATGCTTTCGGGGGTAGAGGCGATTTAGAGTTGTGGCAATCGATAATCTCATGGTTTTACTTTCAGACAAACGAATTCTCGTGTGTTGCACGACGCAAGTTAAAAATATATTGTTAAAATATTGAAAAATATATGTTTATAATGGTTGTGTTATTGACATTAATTAATATAATTAAATATAATTATCTATCTAGTATTATTTTAACAATTGTTATGATTGATTAATTTTAATTTTTTACTTATGTAATTATTTTCTAATTTCCATGCAAGTCACCTTATCCTTCTCTCCCCTCTCTTCTTCTACTCACGGCCGAAGGTAACCACACACATACACACTACATCAAATTCTCTCAAACACTCTTAAGAATCATTCGCCTCTTTCCATCAAGGATCTCAAAATTTGCTTGTGTTTTAAAAGGGTTTTCACAAAATAATCATCATTTCTTGGTAAATCTTTACACATCCAAGTTATATAACTCCATTCTAATGTTAGATCACTCCTTTAAGCAAGTTTTTGGTGATCATACTCCTAGAAATGTTCTAAAGTTCGAGATCCACTCAAGGGAGTTTGCTAGGGCCGGAAATCACTTCATCTCTTTCCATTCTTACTTCAAAAACCGAAACATCAAGCAAAGGTGAGTTCATACCCCCTTTGTTTTTGGTTTTTACATGATTTTTTGGGGAGAATATAAGTAAAATGTGTAGATCTATGTGTTATATGCATGTCTTGTGTGATTTCTTAGTTTATGTTGTAAAAATATGTTAGATCTTGGCAAATCACGGCTTCTTAAGAAACATTGAGTTAAGATCCATGAACTAAGACACCTTATACATCAAACTATCAAGTTAAAAGTGTTATATGTTTAAGATACAAAAATTTAAGGCAAAAACTTTGTTAAGGGTCAAAATTGTCAAGAAAACAAAAGATAAGGGCAAAAAGTAACATTTATGTTTTTATGGGGACCAAACAGGTCCTACAAGTATAAAAAGGGAGTTTTTATGTTAAACATACTTTAAAAAGGGCTAAAAATGTAAATTTGAGCTTAGTGGGCCAAACTTTTGGTCCTCATGGTTTTGGGCCCAAATTTGCGAAAAAATGAAGTTTTTTGAATTAAAAATGTTATTTGAGCATTGAGTCATAAATGTAAATAAACCAAATTTAGGGGTGAAAATAACATTTAATTTCAATTTGGACCAAAAATGTAACTTTTACCAAAATTGAGCCGGAAGTGTAAATTTTTACAACCAAAGGGCTAAAAATGCACTTTTCTGTAAACCTAGGTCTTAAATGTCAAAATATATATTTTTGGACTAAAACCATAAATTTCTAGACATTTGGGACAAAATTGCAAATTTTTACAAATTATGGACTAAAGTGTCATTTTTACAAAACTTGAGTCTTCAATGAAATTTTGAGACTTTTGACCAAACATGTTGTCTTATGAAAAAGGTGACTTGTTACAATAAATTTGGTAAATGATGAGCTAAAATAAACAACCAAACAATATGAATGGACAGAATATACTGTTAACAATTTTTTCTGGGCCTAATATTCATCTTATGTGGCCAATGGGCCTTAAGGGCCTATTCAAGTGTATATTGAACCCAATATCTTCCATGACATGTTTATTAGGCCTTGCGACTCATTTACATGTTAATTTGGGTCTAAGTTATGGGTCACATGTTGTTGGGCCTTTGTGGTCCGTTTACATACCTATTGGGCCCAAATTACCCACTTACATGTTTTTGGGCCTTTGTGACCCATTTACATGCTAATTGGGCTTGGATTGAGATTCACATGCTAGTAAATCGTATCTATACCTTCTCATAACTAGTGAACTTTGTATACTTATAAATGTACCTTTGGTTTGGATAACGCATAACATACACGTAAACGTTAAGCATTGTTTGAAAGGTTGAGAATCTAGTGAGACGTGTCAGTTGGCACCTTGAATGTACAATCGTAGCTTGTAGTTATAATTAGAGTCTCCTGGAGGGAGAGCGAGAGTTTGTGTATAGATCCATACGGGGTGACCCCCCACACCTTAGTTGTTCGCTACAGCTAGACTAGGCCAGTCTAGGGGCGACAAAATCTTGAGCAAATACCAGCATTTGGAAAAATGATAAGCAACCTCGTCATTATCATGTATGATTATAATGGCTCATATAGAGATTCAATACGAAATTTAACATTTCAGAGATTAACCCTTCGATTGTGTCAATACAAAATATCTTATTTAACGATACAAGAATCTCGACATTAATATAAATCAGAAAATATCAGATTTTCTGGGGAAATATTCATATACAATTTATCACTTACTTACAGTACAAAGAAATCTAAACTACATTCATCTATGTTACAACTATGAAATTCACACATGCATTTATACTTGATTTTCACATAATTTTCAGACACTTTTTACAGAAAATATCGGTTTTTTTTTTTTTTGGGTTTTTACGAAAGATACAAAGACCTTTACTCAACTTACTTATGAACTCACCAACATTATATATGTTGACCATTTTCAAAATAACTTGTATTCTCAGGTAATCGTTAAGCTGGAAGATTTGCAAGTTGTATGGTTTTGTTTAATGTAACATCACTTATCGTACTTTTAGTAATTTGAACTTATGTATTTATAACAATGTACTTGATGTGAACAATTCCGGTTGTTATATGAAATGTTGGTGATGAATGTGCTATGTTTCATGTGTATTCATTGTGATGATTATTCAACTGTTAGTCACACGAGCCCCGAGACGTTTCTACCGTCTGGTTCGAGGTGTGACATGAAAGGAGATTAGGGGCTGGAAATGGGACCTTTTTTGGAAAGAGAGATGGATGGTTGGTTTGGTCTTATATGACTCTTTCCGTGGTCTTTATAGGACTGAGTTCTTTAAAGACTACAAAATCAGTGATAGGTTGTCCAACTTTAGTTCTGGAGTTAAGAATAGGACGATGTGGTGTTGGAGAAGGTCGTTGAGAAGAGGTAAAGACTTTGTTCAACTTGTGGGGTTATGTAGAAAAATTAAGCATGTTAGGCTGACTTTGACTTTGGATTCTTGGAGTTTTCAAGGTAGTGCAAATGGATATTTCTTGGTTAGCACATTGAGAAGGTACATGACTGATTTTTACTCTGGAGGCATCGATTTCTCTTTCAATTGGACAAAACTGGATCCCAATGAAAGTGAATTGTTTTGTTTGGAAACTTTTGCTTAACAAGATTCCTTTGGCTAGTACACTTTTTGTTAGGGGTGTGCATGTAATTTATTTATTATACCCTCAGTGGTAGAAAAATGATGAAGATGTCAACGAATCTTTTTTTTTAATTGTGATTTAATTGTAGAGGTCTGGAATTGATTTTATGCTTGGTCGAAGCTTATTTATGTTGTCCGTGTGAGCTTTTCTTCAATGATTTCGGTTGATTCTGATATGAAGCCTGAAAAAGGAGATGTAAATTGTTTCTTTATTTAGCTTATGTTGTATTGTGGTCTTTGTGGAAAGATACGAATGATGCCTTCTTCAAAAAGGCGGAGTTGCAACCCGATGAGAACGAAGGATGATATTCAACTTTCATCTTTCAATTGGATTAAGTATAAACTTAAAATTTCAACGTTATGTTGGTTTGATTGGTGTATTACACCTTCTGTACTTTGTATTTTGTACTTTTCTAGCATCTTGCTAGTTTTAATGCATTTGCAACCTTTCAAAAAAAAAAAAAAAACTTACTCCTGCCCTTGCCCATGTTTGATCCCCAAATTCCACATTTTAGGCCTTTAGTTTTAGCTTTCCTCTGGTTTTGGTTAACTTTCATAATTTCTTGGATTCTTAAAAAATATCCATTTTTGTTTTTTTCATAATAACCTAATTTTATTTAATTGTTTAATTAGATTGTTTAATGTCAATTTTTATTGTTTCTAAAATTTAGCATACCCGCCAATTTTAGCCCCTTCTATATAAAGATGTTTTGTAATCCTTTGA